TTCAAAACTGAACTGACCGCAGGATGCGGATAATTATTTTATTGCAAAAACTGTATTGTCCGTTTTATTTTTCCAGCATTTTTCTCAAACTCAGATTGTAGGAGATTTTTCGGTGGAACGATTTTTTTTTGTTGATAAAGCATGTGATTTTGATGAAGCACCCAATCATACAACATATGACTTTATAAACCTCTTTTGTGGTGCAATCATTGCTCCACCATAGAAGACATTCGAAAAATTGCGAAGCTTATTGTTTGCGCCAAAACGACATGGATTTGAGGTTGAAGTGTCAAATGCGCCTCTATTTGCCGATAGTTTACGTGCCATTTTCTCGATATGAAATATACAATAGTCGCTTTGTGATTTATTCACCACATTCTTACACGCCGAACCATTGTTTTTGTTCGCCTGCAATCGTTAATATTTTTGTTATCAGTTCAGCATTTTGTCAATATTTTCAGTGAATCGCCGTTTGGAATTCTTAACATCTTAGTAGATACAGATAACTGAAATAACTGTTCATTGGAGAATATATATAGAAACTCGGCGATCGAATTCACGATCAAAAAATTAGTAACAACCAGATTACTATCACTTCCTTAAAATAATCATATAAACAAGAACGATTGGACGAACCTTACAAATAGCGAAATCAGGACAAAAACCAATCTCAATCATGTGAACCGATTTGGTCACTTTCAGAGTTACAGATGCATCTGAAGTTATAGATGCAATTGAACAATCCTGAGGATAGTAAATGAACAATGCAAAATGATAAACTGATACAGTAAAATAGAATGAAATAAATGGCAACAACAAATAACCTTTCGAGTTTCCGTCCATGAATGCTGGTGTTGTCAATGCGATCACGTAACCGATTTGTATCTTCCAATGTTCAGTTAAACAATCGCCGAATAAGAATACTTTTAATGGTGCACTCTGACAGTCCTTCAAAATTTTTTTTGGCTTTTGTTTAATTTCACTTTAATTCATCAACTGTTTCATTGATTCTAATCTCAGTTGCAAATTGCAAATTCAATTCAGATGAATTCTTCTGAGAGGTGAATCTGATTTTCTTCGTGCAATTCAAAAGCAATTAAACGATATGATATGGAAAATTTTTGGTCACTTCAAAATATCACAAACGCCAATGAAAGCCACTGATAGACAGAAAGCTCGTCATATCCATAAGGTGAAATGAGCAACTGTGGTTCGAAGTAATGTGTGTGAATGTGTCACTGTGAATATAAAATCAATTCAAACTAATAATGCTTGGAATAGTCACATATGAAGTGAATCAATTAGAGTATATGAGAATAAAATTTTGAGATATTTCGAATCAACAAATTCAAGTTAAAATTCAGTAGAAGTACCGTTAAATCAGCAACTCTCCAAATCATATAATCGTGACCGTTCGCACTCTTTCGATAGTCGCTTTTATCACTGACAACACCCATCGTTACCCATGCACCACTTGGTGCAGACTGGAAATCATTCCTCGTTTATGCACTGATAACTGTCAGAAATTGATTGAAACGATAAGGAACACATGATGTGATAAGAATTTTGAATGGAATCTTTGAAATTGTTTAGGAAAATGTTTGTGAAAAGCTAGCTGAAGTGAAGAAAAGATGCAAACAAAATTCACCGTTCCTGATTTTACACGTGATGGACGAATCTTTTCGAGGCCATCGCAATATGTTTGGAAAATTGACGACGATATTTTGGGATTTCTGAAAATATATTTGCTCACTCACAAAAATTCATTCAAATCCTCAATTTTTATCGCTGCTCATTGCATCTGATTGTTTGGAATCGTAGCATTTTGCAATATATTACGCAAGATTTTGCAATATACACGTTGCAAGCGTTTGATAGCCTGGCCAATCCAGGTAATATGTAAGATTATGCATGCAGAATTTCAGTAAAATTTGACTCACATACTACTAGAGAATCCAACTATTTGATTATTTGCACGTAATACGCAAATTTTGGAAGAAACTTCATTCGAACGTTTCAAAAAGCTCACGTCTTTATCATAGTATTAATCCCTTATCTCGCATTGATTCAAAAAGAGCAAACTGAATAAAAGCGGATGAAAATTAGCATCGAATACGAATTTGATCTGCGAGTGATGAATCTATTTGAATCTGGAAAATGCTAATCGATACCTGACACGAATTCCAAATTCTTTATCGTAAATATCGATGGCATTTCCTGCAAATTTCTCAGTTGACGTGCCACTCTTCGTTTCTTTTTGTCTGTTGAAAGTGTTAACTTCTTGAGAGGACGACACCGGTTTATTGCGAGAACTAATTCTCGAAGACTGAAAAATCATTGCGCTCGATTTGTGAAAAAAAAAATTTTAGAATTATGCATATTTCAGAAATGAATTCGTATAGCATTATTCTTAAGTATTCCTATTGAAAGCAACTAAGATAGTGAAAGAATGATAACTTTTAAATGAAAATGCGCTCACTTCTCCAAATGTCGTTGATCTTGTTTCCTTCATAGTCGCCTCTTTCTCTAGCCGTTTCTTTATAGCGCGACCATGCTCTGACAATCGTGGTCTGGAAATATAAATTTTTGCATTTTTATCGGTTCTAACATGATGGAAACCATATGATGTGCAAGGCATAAAGACCATGCTTTAATGATCGTAGTCTAGAAATTTTTTAAAATGATATGAAAATAAAATGACGCAAAATGTTTAATCAAATGATACGATTGAAAAGACCTACTCGTCCTCATGATTACGTTGGTATTCATCTTCACTCGAACTCAAATCGTCATCAACAATGCGTTTTCGTTTCACCGCTTTAGTGTTGCTCGATTTTTCATCACAATTATTTGATGTAGTTGAAGTGAAATCGATATCTATCGGTTTTGCCATCGGTCGATAGTTGTTAGATTCTGAAATGAACACAGAATCGGTTAAGATCGTATGTAACGAAAGATTATTACTTATATTCTGAAATAAGATTTGTTTCGTCATGAATCGAAAAGACTCATTTGAAGAGCCTTTCTTCGAGGAATTTCCGCTGTAGATGCGGGCGCTTCTAGGATGTGAAGTCGGCGATTTTCCTTCTTACAATATCAACCAACGGAGGAATTGATCAATCCACAAAGTAAAAGTTCCCCAACAACGTTACCAATGGAATAAGGCGCATAACAAAATATTTTGTTGCCCAGTCCAATCTTACGATAAATTTCATTCGAATCTCACAGATTGCCGCCACCACCATTTCCGTCTCACTGACAATTGGCGATTGATCAGCTGAATTTGTCATTTCTCCGCCTATCCATCTCATCTCGTCTAACTTCTTAACGTTAATCAGAGTGTGGAACTTTTTCGTCGAACAATTCAAATAGTTGTTATCTAATTAAAGATAATGTTGTTGATGATTGATAAGTTGAGATAAATTGTTGCAGTCGTAATGTCGGGACGATCCACGATGCATCCGCTGTGTTCAACACATGCGACAAGTGCGTATCCACCGACGACCACAGATTTCGTGTTTCGTAAAGTTTTAAGGTTCACCACTTTTGAGCACTGCTTTCTTATTGTTTAAATCTGATTCTCAACTAAGCATCATGTCTTTGTGAGTTCGATTGAATGCAAACGAAAGAGCCTTTCTATTTAGACAGTCAGTAGCTGCGATGTGTAGACAAGCTGGATTTGAGTTCATCGAATCGAATGTGCTTGAACTGCTCACACATATGCTGTGCTCATGTTGGTTTCACTTCATTATTTCATTTACTTCTT